GCACAGCTGGAGGCTTGGCCTGATTTCGCTCCCTGTTCAGCATTTCTATCTAATCAGCGTGGGAATGGTCTCTCGAGTCCGATCCAAGCCTGCCATTTTCAGATGGGGGATACCAGGCTCAGGGGCAGGGCCTCGGGCTTTGGACACTCTGGTGCCGAGCCCCTCGCAGTCTTCACAGAGAGGCTTTCTTGTTCCCATTTTGCAGATGAGCAAGCTGAGGCTCAGAGCGGGCGGGCCACCTGCCCAAAGCCACAGCCAGCAAGCGCCGGGGCTGGCATTGGCACCATCTCTTCCTTTTACACCAGGGGGCGGCGGACGACAGCTGTGGGCGGAATCCGGCCGGCCACCTGTGTTTTTGAAGTGGTGTGTGTGAGTGTGTGTGTGTGTGAGTGTGTGTGTGTGTGGGGGGGGGGGGGGCATGACTAGAAGAAAGGCATTTTGTGAAAAAACGACATGGGATTCACATCCCCGTGTCTGCAGCTGCTCCTGGCCCCGGCGCTTCAGGACTGAGCCCAGAGCTGCTTCTGCCCGCCAGCCCTGGGGCCGGTTCCCTGGACAGCTGGCCGCCTCCTCGTTGGTTTACCTGGAGCACCTTTTCTTAGGGTACAGAGCGCCTGGCAATGGCCTGGAAGCACAGCTCCCCTCCCCTCTCCTCCCCTCCCCTCCCCTCTTCTCCCCTCCCCTCCCCTCTCCTCCTCTCCCCTCCCCTCTGGTCCCAGCCGGCAGGCAGCCCCACAGCGGGCCCCAGCAGGTCTGAGTCAGAGAGAGCAGAAGAAAGAGCAGGTGGGAAAGGGCAGGGCGGAGGGTCTGCAGGGAGCCAGCGGAGGGTGGGTCTGGCTTGAAAGGCCCAGTCCCCTGGGGGGTAAATGAGGGGTTCTCTGCCTTGCAGGTGACTCCTGGGGGATCATGGTTTATTCTCCTTGATTTCTGAGGCTGTGAAAGGCTGCCCACTGCCTCTCCCTCTGCTCCCCCTCTCCTGACGCCCTCTGGGGGGGGTCCCACTGCCCACACCCTTTGAGGGGGGGGTCCCACTGCCCACACCTCTCAAGAGGGGGAGATGAAAAGGATGAGCTCCTTGTGGGAGCCGGCCCTGCCCTCGCTGTGCAGAGCGGGCCCTGAGGCCTGGGGGCAGGGGTTGTGAGGCACCGGGGACGGAGGCAGGGACGGGGCGTGGGCACCGGGTGCAGGATGTGGCCTCGGCCTGGAGCGCCCACCAGGGCCGGCCAAAGGCCAGGAGCCACCATCCAGTCCCAGTGTGTGGAGGAGAAGTGGGGCGATGGGGGGGAGGGGGGGGAGGGGGAGACAGAGGGAAGGAAACGCCAAGCAGGGTAGAGGGAGCACAGGGAGGCAGGGGCAGTAGAGGAGAGAGAACCTCAAACAGCCCAAAGGAGCCGGGTGCGGAGGAGCGGGCGTTTAGGTGAACAGAACAGGTGAGGCCACAGAGATAGGAAGGCAGCAGGTTGGTGGCCGCTGGGGAAGCGGGGATTGCGGGGTGACAGCTAAAGGCTACAGGGTGGGGTTTTTTTAGGGGGGGGCGCGGTGAAAATATTCTCAAGTTCACTGTGGGGCTGGCTGCCCAGCTCTGAGAATGCACCCTGGAAACGGGGATGGTGCAGAATGTGGCGTGCACCCCAGAGAGCTATTCCAGAGGAGAGACAGTGAACAAACGGCCAAGTGAGAGGAGAGGGAGAGGGATGGGCGTGAGGAACAAAACCCCGTCCGTCCAAGGGCCTGCTGCTGCCAGGAGGTGTGCCCGTGCCTCGGCCCTGCCTCCCTCTCCTGCGGCTCCCTCTGCAGAGCGTCCTCACGGCTTCTGGGTGAGGAGCTGCCCTCGGACGCCCAGCGACCTACGAGCATCACCCAGCCAGCTTGTGGCGGGGCCGGACCGTCCCGGGCTCCTCATTCCCACCGGAGGCGGGAGGAGGCAGAGGCCCGGGTCTGCTTGGGAGCCTCCAGGAGGGGCCGGCCTCCCGCACTGTGAGAGGGTGAACCTGTGTGTTCTCCGCCACCAGGTTCATGGCCATGAGTCACAGCGCCCTCAGGAGCTAATGCAGCCTCTGCCCGCAGACGCTGAGGTTCCTGAGCGGGGAGAGGCCGGGCTGGGCTCAGAGAGGAGGCAGGGGAGGCCGTGCAGGGTGGAGGGAGAGTGGGTGAAGGAGGCCGGTGGGGTCAGGCAGGGGCAGACAGAGCGTCCTGCGGGGAGGCGGCGCCAGGCCTGCTGGCCCCTCTGGCTCCTGCGTCTCCCCTTGGTTGACCCGGCGCCACCCCAAGGGCAGGCCCCGATCGGCCCCCTGGAATCTTGCTTAAGCAGACAGCCCCACCCCTTAGCGGTGATAAGGGCTCTCGGCCAGGTCAGCACTGGTTTCTGTCCGTAGACGGACTCCGGGGAGGACATGCTGCCGGCACCAGGGAAGCTGGGAGCTGACCTTCTGGAGGGTCATTCAAGGTCCTGATTCTCCTGGCAGCCTTGGTGGGAAAATCTATGCTTGGCCTCCTTCCCCTCCCCCAAACCCTTACCTGTTCCCCATTCTCCCCTTCTCCCCTTCTTCCTTACCCCCCCCACCCCACCCCTCCGTCCAGTCCCTGCTTCCCAGGGGCTCCGTGGCCACTCGTGTGACTCTGCAGGCCCGGCCTCTCGGCTGGCCTCGGTGTCTTCCCGGCCCTTCGCCCACAGAGGCGTGAGGATCAGACCAGAGGGGGACACACGCCTCCCAGGGTGCCAGTGCCCACAGGACTGTCAGGCACGGGGGCTGCTGGTTCTGTTGGCGCTCAGACCTTGGCTTTGGCTGACTCACCAGCTTGTGTCACTTGGGCAATTTCATTAACTTCTGAGCCTCAGTTTTCCCATCTGTGAAGTGGAGCCTGAACAGGCACCTGCTCGTGGGGTCGTGGGAGGATGACGTGAGGCCAGGAGTCTGAAGGGCCCCCCCCCCAGATGAACGGGTCTTTCCTGTTTCCCTCCGCTCTCTGGCCCGCTCCCAGGATGGGCTGCCTCGGCCATGTGCCCACCCCCCCACTTCACCCCCCCGCCCCGTGCCCCGCCCTGGGGCGCTCAGTGCACTGCGTCTCCATCCTTGGCACGCGATGCCTGGACCCGGGCCGCCTGCTCCTCGGCTGCACCCCGGGCAGCTACAGACGGGGTGGGGATCTTGCTTTATCGCCTTGGCACCAGGGCTGGGGACAGAGGACCACACGGAGGAACAATGGCAGGATTGTAAACTGGAGGCTTTACAATCTTGGGGCGGGGGGGGGGGGGGGGGGGTTACGGTGAAAGTGCCGGCTCTTAGTGCTCACCGAGTGTTTCCCTCAGGATTGGGGACACGCAGGTCTGCGCGGGAGGGAGTGGTGTGCGGGACCTGACCGATCACACACCCCGAACCACACCCCCGCTTTGTTCTCTGTTCGCTTCCTGAACCAACTCAACCTGTCACTCAGGCCGCCCCCTGGGTGAGGAGTGTGGCCGGACACGGACGGCATCGTACCCACCAGGGCCGGGCCAGGGCCGGGCGTGAAGGCAGCAGCTCCGCATTGTGGGGAGGCGCCTGCAGAGGGCTGGGGGGAGGGGCTTGAGGGGGAGAGTCTAGAGGCCGGAGGCTGGGAGGAGGCTGGGTGCAGCCGGTTAGCAGTGGACGGGTGAAGGCTGCAAGGGCCAGAGGGGCCCTGGGGCCTTGGGGAGTGGAGGAGGGGTTATAGCTGGACAGTCTCCCCCCACCACGAAGCAGAGACCAGATCCCAGAGGGTGTGGCCCCTCTTTCCTCAGACGGACACGGGCTCCGGCATGAACCTGCCTCCAGGGCCGTCCCAGCCCCACGGCCTCCCTCCACTTGCATGTGCTTCCGGCCGCTCTGGGAGGTGAGCGGGGCAGCGCGGGAGGACAGGCCCTGCCCTCTGCGAGGAGGGGAAACTGAGGCTGGGACTTGCTCAAGCTCGGGTGAGCGAGGGATGGGGCTGGGAAACGCCCGAACGCCATGCCTGCGCCCAGCAAGACGAGGTCCGCAGAAGATGAAAGAAGGGGGTGCCCTCTGAGCCACCTGTGTGCCAGGCGTTCTCCCGCCCCGCCCCCCGTTCCGCTCACGCCCACCGCGCCGCCCTCCCCACGCAGCGCGCGTCCGACCCGCTCAACCCTTCGGTGCCGCTTCCATCCATCACCGGCCTCGGCCTCGTCTCGGCGGATCTGTCTAAGCCTCTCTCTGATCCTGTGTATCTCCTAAGCCTGGAGACTCCTTGGGAACGACCATGGGACATCCTTCCTCTTAAATCTCCTGCACCCCGAGCACCAGCGTCCCCAAGCCTATTTCCCAGAGCTGCGGCCCGGTCCTCCCCTCCTCTCTCACAGACCGGGGATGCAGCCCGGTCCTCCCCTCCTCTCTCACAGACCAAGGACGCGGCCCCTGCACGGAGGGCCCGGCTCCTGCTCCTCATCCACGTCTGAGGGGGCAGCCGGAGCCCCCGCTCAAAGCACCGAGCTGCCCCCTAGCTTCTAAGCCTTCCTGCTCCCCTGGGAACCCTGGCACAGGGCCCAGCCCTGCCCTCCCGGCTGGGCCAGTCCTCCTCCTCCTCCACTGCAGTGCCCCCAGCATACGAGCTGACGCATGACGTGCTCAGAGGGCCAGCAGGCTTTCTCATCTCACCCCCAGGCCCCGGCATTCCCGCGGCCCCCGGACGGCTGTCTGCAGCGTCTGCGTGAGCACTTAGGACTGCCAGCTCCACGGCAGGGTTGCGGCTTGGCCTGAGGACTCTGGCCGCCAGGACCATGGAGCCGGGACACAGGGCCCACAAGCTCTGGAGCCAGGGGACCTCTGTCCAGGTCCCAGCCCCGTGGCCCTGGCCACGCTGTGGTCCTTGTAACACGGAGGTGAAAGTGTCCCCTCCCCGGGGGTGCCCCACAGCCCAGGGTCTGCGAGGTGCTTGCGAATGAGGGCCAGCACCCTGGGGCCGTGGCCACCGTGGCTGTCACCGTCGGGGGGACCTCTCCCCGAGCCCCCGTCCCGGGCGGTTACCTGTCTGTGGCTCCCCGGGGTGCCGCGGCCTCTCCGCCACTCCACACCTGGAGCTTCAGGGGCTTCTCTTCCTGCTGCTGCCCGGGGCCCTGGCTCCGCGTCCTGGGGAGCCGGGAGCCGTCGCACCGCAGAGAGGGGTCGTGGTCGGCGTAGCCCGCGTACCTGCAGCGCAGGAGCTGCTGGTAGGCCGTACGGAAGTCCCTGTTGAGCGCGGCGTACAGGATGGGGTTCAGGGCGGAGTTGGCGTAGCCCAGCCACAGCACCACGGCCTCGAAGGTCTGGTTGACGGCGGCGTCCCCCCGCAGCCCGCGGTAGACGAACACGGTGAAGTAGGGGAGCCAGCAGAGGACGAAGGCGCCCATCACGGTGGCCAGCGTCACCGTGGCCTTGTGCTCCCGGAGGGTGGCCGCCCTCCAGGGGCCGGCGTGGTGGATCCTCCGGGCCTGCTCCCGGGCGATCCTGAAGATGCGGAAGTAGGTGACGCACATGACCAGCAGGGGCACGTAGAAGGTGACCAGGCCGTCCACCAGGCCGTACACCAGGTTGACCTGGACCTTGCAGGGCAGGACGGTGTGGTTGGCCCCGCCGCTGCCGCCGGCCTCCTCCCTGCTGTTCCAGCCCAGGTGGATGGACAGGAAGGACAGGGTGATGGACACGGCCCAGATCAGGACCAGGGACACGCCCACGCGGAGCGGGGTGACCAGCACGGGGTAGCGCAGGGGGGCCGTGACGGCGCAGTAGCGGTCCAGGCTGATCATGAAGAGGTTGAGGATGGAGGCCGTGCAGAGCATCACGTCCAGGCTCGTGTAGATGTTGCAGAAGACCGGGCCGAAGCTCCAGCGGCAGGAGAGCTGGTAGACGGCCGAGAAGGGCAGCACCAGGAGGCCCAGGAGCAGGTCGGTGGCGGCCAGGGACACGATGAAGCAGTTGGTCAGGCTGCGGAGCCGGCGGTTCAGGCCCACGGCCAGGCAGACCACCACGTTGCCGGCGATCGTGAGGAGAATGAGGACGGTGAGCGCCACGCTGACGGAGATCTTGAACGTGGCAGAGTCCAGGCAGGAGGCGGGGGCCGTGTCGTTGTACTCCATCCTGGGACTCCGAGCTCCGTCCTCTGCCACGGCCCCTCGTGGCGTCTCTCCCAGCCCCCGACGTGCCAGCCACCGGGCTCCAGGCTGCCGCGCAGAAACCACAACACGTGTCCAATTGTGGGCAGGCTACGGTGCTTTTTCCAGAAATAAAGCAAGTCAGTTTCCTGGGAGATGTTGGGGAGGAGCACGAGGTCGAACAGAGAGGAGGCGAAGTTGGTGGTTCAAACCCCAGTCCTCAGCTTGCCCCCCGTTCAGAGCTGGCTTCCTCCCGGCCTGGACAGGCCTCTCTCTCCAGGTTTTGCAGAGACGAGGCGGTGGGTGTGTCTGGAGGTGGCTCAGGGGCTATGAAGGGGGATCACATGGAGACGTAGCCGCATCCTTCTCCAGAGCCGGCCGCTGCTCCCATCGGCGGGGCAGGGGTCTGGCTGCTGCATCTCCCTCGGGGGCCACTGGAGAGCAGGAGCTGACAATGCAAGGGCCGGGTGTCGAGCGCTTTGACACCAGACAAGAGCGTGGCCTGAAGCAGGATGGGTCTTCTGGACCTGGACCTCCCTGCCCGCTACCAGGAGCCTGGGCCAGTCCGGACGCCCTTCTTTGGGGCAACCAGAACGCGCTGTGGAAGGGGGAGGGGAGTCAGGATGCTAGGGGCTGAGCCACATGTCTCTGCGTGAAGCCCACAGCGAGGGACTGCTGATTTGGAGAAAGAAAGATCTAGACGCAGGCTCCACGCCCCGCGAGGCGGGCAGCGTCGACTTGTTCAGTGCTGGTTCCCATGCCGGGCTGGCCCCACAGGCGGGCATTGGCGTCCAGAGGGTAAATCCTAAAAGGAACAAATAAATAAGCAAATGTCACACATTCAGGCTGATGCAGTGCCAAGAACAGTGCCCAGCGCTGCTGTTTCACCAAGTGTCACCGGGCCCTCAACCAGGGGCCCCGGACGGTCTCAGGAAAACTCCGATGCCAGGGAGGGAACATCAGCCACGTGGACGACGGGCACCGAGGAAGCCCGCTGGGCCCCAAGGAGACTGGGCCTGGCACTGGACGTTCACTGAGTCTCACAGGCCACACAGTACCCTCTCCAGCTCTTCACGGCCACTTCCAAACCATCGGCTGTCTTAGCTCCTGGCGGCACGGTCCAGGCAGAGGGCCAGGCTGATGGCTGGTGTCGTTGGTGACCGCACGTTGCCCGCCACCTGCCCTAAGCATCTCTGTAGCTTTTACTTTTCTTATTTGGCAGCACACGTGGTCCTGCACCCGGATCAGCTGGTACAGGAGTCACACAATCTTTCTAATGGCCGTGTAACAGTCCAAGGGCCAGGTGTGTGTGTGGGTGCGGGGGGGGGGGGGGGGAGAGGGGGTGGCCACAGTTGATTCTGTCATCCCCCCATCATGCGTTTTGGGGTGCTTTCCCATCCGTCCGTCCCTCTCTCCCTCCTGCCCACTGTGAACATCACTTCCGTGTGGCTGCATACCCAGTGCCTCTGGGTGAAATCTCAGCGACCCTCCTGCTGGTGAGACCCTATGTGCGGACGGATGCCAGGCAAACTAAGGTCCCCCTGATTCCTGCACCCTCTCACGGGGCAGCCCCTGGTCTCCCCAGCCCCGCCGGCCCCTGGGACCTGGGAGTGTGCCGAAACCCAGGCGGCAGCAGAACCCCTGGGAAGCGACCTGATTGCCACGTGCCACAGCCGGCCTCTCCCGGGCGCCAGCCCGCGGCGTTCTGTGCTCTGCCTGCGGGAGGCGTCATCTCACCGTAACCGCGGCGTTGGCGCGGGGATCACGGCTCCCGGTCGCCTCCTGCTGCTCCAGCTGGCTCCGCCGCCAGGCCTGCCTCCCGAGCTGTGCTGCTGGGCATTATTTTTGGAAGATCCTCGCATTACATAAAAGGCACAGACGGCCCGCTCCCTGCCGCGCTCCATTAGCTTTGGAGATGGCAGCAGCCGGGGGTTGCTCTGAGAATCCTGATTTCTGATCAGAGTCTCCTCTGAGCTTCCCTGACAGCCCGGTGGAGGCATTTCGGCGTCAGACCGGTGTTTTACTCCATGTTTGGGGGTTTTCCGAACTGAATGAACCAGCGCCTCATATAATTAGAAATTCAGTGCTCCCTCCTTCCCTCCCTCCCTCCCTCCTTCCTTCAATCTCTCCTTCCCTCTCCCCTGTTCAGCACGTTTCTCTCAGGGCCTTCCGGGTGCCGAGTGCTGGTGCAGGTGGTGCCTTTTTGCAGTGAGAGCCGCACCTGCCATGTCTCCGCTCTCCAGCCCCGGTGCCTGGAGTTCCTAGGGACCTTCTGAGCGGAGCCCCATCCACCCCACACCTGCTGGTGGAATGATGGCCTGAGAGGTCCACAGCACCCCCAAGTTCATCATCGTGTCTGCCCGGTGCCCCAACGCCCCTCTCCCTGTCTCTCGCCGGCAAAGCCCCAGGAGCAATGCCGCCGGTGGAATGCTGTGTGCCAAGCAGAGGGGCGAGGCCCTTTAGGGAAGAACCAGGTTGGGGGCGGGGGTCCCCTCCCCAGCGAGGTTCACCCAACCGAGTCCAGCGCCCTCCTTTCCCTCCTCCCGGGACCATGGCCAGCGAACCACGGCTCGCGAGCCACAGGCGGCTCTTTGGCCCCTTGAGTGTGGCTCTTCCACAAAACACCACGGCCTGGGCGAGTGTATGTTGAAGAAGTGGCCTTAGGAGAAGTTTAAGTTTAAAACATGTGGCTCTCCGAAGAAATGTCAGTCGTTGTGTGGTTGATGTTTGGCTCTGTGGACCAATGAGTTTGCTGACCACTGGGAGGCAAAATGAAGTTCCCTCTTGGTTTAAGGTACCTGCACCCAGGCCCCGCCCTCAGGGAGCTGGCCAGCAGCGTGGGGGAAGCCGTGAAGGCTCCTTTGGTTGGGTTCCCCCTCAGCCTGGAAGAGAAGTCTGAGGCATGAGCAGGAAGAGAAACTAGGCTAGGCAGGCGACACTGCCTGAGGCACCCAGGGCGAGCAGCGGGCCTGAGAAACGGGGATTGGATCCACGTTCTGCAAACATTGACGTAGAGAGACGGGAGGGGAGCCCCAGGGGCCGAGCACAGGACTCTGGCATTGGCCGGGTCTGGGTTCCGCCCCCGGTGCCATCACGAGCAGCACGGGACCTCAGGGTGCTGCTGCAGGCTCTCGGAGCCTCGGTTTCCCCGTCTGTAAAACGGGAGTGATTCTCTGTCCTCCTTCGCCTGGGGGGTGCGGAATAGATGCAGAGGGGGAGGTGGGGACGCCAGCCCCGGGCTGTGGCAGGTGCTGTTAGTTATGGTGATGCTAGAAAGCTATTACAGACGGTCCCCGGCGTGTGATCGTTCCGCCTTAAAGATGGTTCGAAAGCGACCTTCCTGCGCGTTCGGCAGAAACCATTCTTCGAATTCTGAGTCGTGGTCGGTTCCTGTCAGTGGGGTGTGGTGCGGGTGCGACTCTCCTGGGGCCGGACAGCGCCCGGAGCAGGAGGGTGAGAAACAACCAACGCCCTACGTTGCCGTAGCAACCGCACTTTCCGGTGGCAATATTCTCAACGGAATGGTTTGTGGGGGCGTCACTCCGTCATAAGTCAGAGTATTTTGTAACCATACAAGTGTTACTTTTGTTCTTGTCTGAAGCCCACTCCATCTTTGTTGCGTGCCCTCCGTGCAGACCCGGTGCTGGGCTCTGGGGTCACAGGGTGAGCTCGGCAGGGGTGCCCTGGCTCCTCTAGGCAGGGGGAAGGGGTGGGGAGAGGCAGAGGCACTGCAGGGAGGCTCCGTTCATTGCAGTTGTGCTGAGTTACCTAAAGGGGGTGCACAGCAGTATGCAAGGGGGACCAGGCCTGGTCAGGGGGGACCGAGGCTTCCCAGGGGGGACATTGAGGGGAAGGAGTAACTCAGTGAAGATGGGGACACGCAGGCTGCAGACAGGAGGAGCCTGTGGAACGTGGAGCAGAGGTTAAGGGTGTGCGTGGGGGAGCGGATGGAGGGCGATGTGACTGGAAGGGGCTCCCAGGCCCTGCTCCCCTGCTGCGCACCAGGGGTGGGGGTGGCAGCTGGGGGTCGGCCTGAGCCAGCCCTGCTGACCACCCCTCGTTATCACGGGTCCCTGGGTCGCCGGAAGGCAGTTCGTGGTCTCCATGAGCCCTAACTTCTCAGCACGTGGCCCCTGTGGTCGGCCACGCCACCTGCTTGGCTACCTGGGGCTGAGGCAGCAGAGGGGTCCCGGCTGCAGCCCCCGTCGGGAGCCTCGGCCGGGCCCCAGGCCTGGGGTCCTCTGACGTCACGGGGGTAACCTGTGCCTCCAGCGTTTCCCGGAGAGCGAGCACCGCCTTCCGGGCTTTTCAGAGAAGCGGCGGGATTCTCTGCGCACAGCGCCAGCCACTTCCTCTCCGCAGTATCAGCGGGTCTTTCATCTCTGTGGTCACAGATTTGTACCTCCTTCCTGGCAGCGGCTAGACGTTCGGTAAAAGCCTTTCCAGCCGGTAAAGGACTTCCGGGGAGGCCGCTCACAGGAGAGAGAGGGCCGGGCTCCCGGAGGTCCGAGCGGGGCACCCTGGGTGCTCGGGCTGAGGACGTGGGCATCGTCCCTGACTCCCGTCCCGTCCTCAGCCAGGCCCGAGGCTCCTGCCCCAGACTGTGCCTGTCTCAGCTGCAGCCGCTTCCCTCGGCCACTGCTCCAAAGCAGCGCCTCTTGCCTGGACCTCTGCGCTCCCCACTGGCCTCCCTGCTCCAGGCCAGCACAAGCGCTGGCTGCTTCTGTCCTGCCCGTGCTGCCCCGTGCCACCCCCCTCCCCCTCGGCTCACAGGGCCCCGGGGACCTGCGCTCCAACCCCTCTGACCTCGCACCTCACCCCCTGGCCTTACGGGTGCTTGGCTACAGCCCCCCCCCCCCTCGCTCCTGTGCCTCCCACACGCCGTCTGCCCCCTGGAGCACGGCCTGCGGTCCGCCGCTGACCTGCACGCTCACGTCGTGGGCAGACAGCGGTCCTCCTGCACCCCGGGATGCGGCCACCCCGCC